GAGGATTTGGCAAGGCCTTATTTGCTTTTTCTCCAAATAAGGTTGAGTTTTCAACCTTAAGGCCATACTCCAAAAGTCATTTACTTTCCTAGATCAGGGACCATTCTGGTGATTGTACAGATGTGGTATTTTTACCTACTAAATTATAAGTGAGGTTTGCAGCTGGGTGAAGAAGATTGATTTCCCTCTTTTGTTTGTGCAATGATCACTTTGGATTATGTCCATGTGTAACTAAGGCTTTCCTAATCATGGACTGAGGATGCACTGGATCAAATGGCAATTAAAAGCCCATGACCTTAGAGAGTCACAAACCACTTGCAGAATGTCTCATGGACAGCTTCTCCCATGGGGAAATGTTGCAATCTTCAGTTTTATATCTTCTTTAAGCCCAAAATGGTTTAAAACTGGATGTTAGCATTAGCTCCACAGTTCTGGGATAATGTGGCATCATGCAGGTGGTGGAATCTTTACCTACACAAGCACAACTGCTCATCTTGATCCCACATCTCTCTCTAGTCTTTCCTCCCTGTCCAACAAATTCAGATTTGAGGGATGAAGGAGCTCTAATGAGGCATTTTACCACCCCCAAACACGGTTGTTCCTTGCCCTCCTCTCCAGAGCCTGGCTCTCCAACACACACCACCCACCTCTCACTCCTTCCCCCAGGGATCACACAGCAGTCTCAGGCATGCTCAGCTTCACAGCAAAACTTCTCCAATTTGTTTGTTATTTTTCCTCTGGCTTTATTTATGAAAGTGGTGTGACAGAACACTCTCCCTCTTTTTGCCACCTCTCTTCTCTCTGTTTTGTTTCCCGTCAGGCATTTCGCCCTGGCACACCAAGTAAAGACACAAAAGAGGAGTTGGGAACATCTGGCCCTGGCTGCAGAGCATTGTCAAGAAGTTCTTAGACTTAAAATCAGCTTTTTCCCCCCTCTTTGCGGGACCTTGCTGTGGGATGTTCAAGGCTTCCTGCCGCAGCCCCCAGGGTGGCCAGCAGCCCCCAGCCGGGGTTCCACTCTCTCCAACACAATTACAGCCTGCAAATGTTTAAAGGCAGTTTCTTTTGATTTAGCCACATGCTTCAAATTGTTATGTGGTTAACCACTGAGAACAAACCCCCACACAAATACCTACGTATCAACTCGCTTGAGCCAGGGTGGTAGTGTCGGGGGAGGAAGGGGAGAGGGGAGGCTTCCTCATTTTGCTTTTGATGAGGAGAAAATAGTTTTCTTTTGGCTTTCCCAAACTGCCAGCAGCTGCTGCATCACGGTGTGTGCTGGTTGATGCCCATTTGCACTTTTATTTGCTGATGAAAGGAGTCTTGTTCGGCAGCCATGGCCATGTACCCCAACGGGCCACGTCCTGTGCTAGTGTAAATCAGCTTGTCTGGTGAATAGGAACTGAAAATGCAACCTTCTCTGTGTGTGTGATGTGCAAGAGCCTAGCTGGGGGAAGACTTCTGCACTTTGACATTGCCCTATCCCATGTCCCTTAACTCTTATAAAAACCGAATACTTTTCTGCTGACTCACAGAAACAGATGGATTTTGTTAACTCCAGTCAAGATAGAGGAGGATACACTAAAAACATCACTTGGTGGGGCTGAACGCAGCATTGGGGTTCAGGGGGACTGAGCAAGGAGTTTCACATCTCGCTCTCTTCAGCATGGATGGAGCTTGGCTTGTGGGTGCCACATGGGAGGAGCAATGTGTGGTCTAGGTGGAGCCCGGCTGCTAATCAGTCTCTGAAATAATGGCCCACATAGTTGTTTCCCTCCCTCTCCTTGTGCCCTCTCCCTGGAGCACTGCAACTCCCCAAAGCCCAAGAGAGACACTTGGAGACAACAGCAATGAAAAAAGAAACACCCCAAAACAAACACAGAACTCAAATCCCCTCAGTAATTCCATTGCCTCTACTTAAATCTTGTTAAATTACAGAGGGTTTTAGTGAAGTAAATTAACTTCCCTTTGCTTGCATTTCCTTGCCTTTTTGAGGACTATGATGCTGAAGAGCAAATTGTCTTACAAACGGAATCCAACATGGGGACAGTTGCCAAACACGACTGGCAGAGCTGTTCATGTAGCGGTCCTGAGAGTGGACCCAAGTGGAAATAGAGATAATTATTTTGCCATGGGCCAACTTTAAGATCCATCTTAATTTTATTTTCATTTATAAAATGGCAGATTAAAGACAATACAAGGTGGCTAAGAGATTCTTGAGGCAAAAGCTGCAATCTAAATGTGATCTGCTTTCTCAGGTATGAAACAAAATTGAATCCTTTACTTTTTGTGGAAAACTGCATAAAAAGGTGGGGTTAAAAGCTTTGGATGTGGGGAACATTTTTGGGGAAAGTGGTTTAGTTCCTCTGGTCCATTCATCATCTCAGCAGTGAAACATCACTGTGTGTATGAAGTTAGCTCTGCAGGACTCTGTACCTGTCAAAATTGTTTATCCATACTTGCCAACAACAGCAAGAAAGTCAGGAATACTGGCAGCTGTGACGGTGAGTGAGTTGGACACATGGAGTGGGGGCATATGAGCTAAACCTCCTCACTGATGCAGAAAAATAAAATGAGTGAGGGAAGGAACATTAAAGCATGAAGAGTCTAATCTTACAGAGTTTAACGGTTGTGGTGGGTTACAAAAAAAAAAAAGACCTTTTGCAGAATTTTTTCATGGGCAACTGAGTAGGTAGGTCTTGGTGACCAGTTAGTCCTCATACTGCTGAAGGTTCAGCAGAAGCACCTACTGGGGGATATTGTTACATTAACATTATTGGCTGTGGATAGCTGATTGGTAATATAGCATTTAGATAATTAAAAACTAATATGATAATCACTTATTAAGGAATTATTAAGGAACTACTTAGTGCTTGGTATAGTTTTGTGAAAAAACAAAAAATTCTCAGTCTAAATCAAACAGAAACTTAATCCTATGTGAAGGCTATCAGGGGGAAAGAAAAAAAAGAGGGGGGAGGGCAGAGAATTCAGGTTTATAAAAAGAAACATGTACACAATGAGCTGAAGGTTGTGCTTCTGCACTTCCTGCTCTGGGTGTGAGCAGAAGAGGAAATACCAAAATACCACCAGAAAAACTATTCCCACAGCATTCCCAACCTGGCTGAAACCAGAAAAGTTCTGACAGCCCTGCAGAAAAGGGGTAAAACCCCACAACCAAACCAGTCCCAAGCATCTTGCTCATCAGAAAGACAACAAAATTTCCAAAGATGGGAAATTTGGGTAGACCTAGACGAGTCTTTATATTTCCCCTGACTCCTCGTCTGTACTCTGTATTTTCTGCATTTCATGGATCATTGGTGACATTTGACTCTTCTTTCAGCTTTGAGAGGGGCACATTTCTGCTACAGCCAGTTTGGTTGCATCACAGACCACCAAATTAATTGCATGTTAGCCACAAGGCAGGTCCAGTCTAACGCAGTGAGGCACTCCTTGGCCCTCCTTTCATTTCTGACAGTCAATGCACTACAGTGAGAGTACAACCTACACACACAGGAAGAACTGACCTTTCAATGAATAAAATGCCATCAGTTTCAGTGTTGCCCTGTGTTAATGATTAAAATGAATTCCTGAAGGCTCCCAGGCAGACAAGACATGAGTTTGGTCTGGCTGGTCTTGTAAACTTTCCTCTGATAGCAAAGTAAATCTTGAAGATGAGCAGCAGGATCACATTCAAAGGGTTGTGTGGAAAGCCGGCACATCAGGCAATTAGTTTAAAACTTCAGATCTGGAAACTTTGCAAAGAATTTGGAAAATGGCTCTTTCCCTTTATTGGTATATAAAAAAAGGAAAGTATTCTGTCCTACTAAACCCCTAAAATTTAAATATTAAAGTCTCTTGTTTGATATGCAGTATTACACACTAGAATTCAGGACTTACGAAATAGTCTAAGGAAAATCAGAGCTAAAGTGAAATTACTATAGAAAGCTGGTTTTCCTATAGATGTTTCCTCACACATCTAAGCAAGATCTGAATCAAACTTTTCCCTTACAATTACAGAATCAAATCCCTGGACTGGGTCCAATGAGCAGCTCAGGAATGTTCAGCACAACCAGAGCCTCTAGCTATGGGACAGAACAAAAATTGCAACAGTGATGATGCTTTATCTTCAATATCTTACTCCAGCAACACTTCCATGGGTGCCAACAATGAAATCTGCTTGAAAAAGGCCTGAAAAGAAGATTTTTTCTTTTCAAATTCTGAGTCAGTGATTTAGAGACTGATCAACTCATTGCATTTGTGACTGTGGTTAACTGAAACCACCTAAGGCTGATAATGCCATCATGAACTCTCACATCCAAAAATTAAGCTAAAACCTTATCTAAGCCAAGCCCCATGTCTGAATGCAGCTTTCCAGTTCATTCAGAGCAGCCTAGCACTCAGCATTTTCCCTCCAACAACAGAAAGCCCCTTCCTGGCCTCCCAGAATGTTGCTGCATGAGAATACAGTTGTCACTCCTACTGCAAACTTATTTAAGAGACAATAGGAGAAATAGTTGGCACATAGTTTCTTCTAAAAACGTAAATCTAGATCAACAATAAAACATAAAAGGCCAAGGAAACATGCAAAGACACTCAGAAAATTCTCATTTTACTTTGCAGATTAATTTTTGCTGAGAGCGAGACATTGCAATTTACAAAGTGGGCCCTATTCTGCATTTCCTTTCTTACACGAGATCATTTTAAAGCCACTGAGGTTGTTTATGAGAGTAAAAGTTACTTACATGAGTAAGGACCCGCAGAGTCTGGCCTTACACATTTTGCTACCTAGGCATTATCTGGGATGTAGAGCAGCGTGTATTTTTAGGAACTAAAAATGGACTTCGGTTGTTTCTTTTGGAAAAAGTTCTGACTTCAGCTTTCACCCATTTGCTTTTTGCAGTTTGCTCCGCAGCCACATTGAATGGACTGGCTCAGCCTTTGTCCCTGTCTCTGTGCTGCTCGTTACCAGCCACTCTCAGCCCCGACGCGCTGTAACTCACCAGGACGTGTGCAGTCTGAATTCCCATTCCAGATTTGCTCCTCAAGCCTAAAGCCATTATTCCATCTCAGATTAAAACGTATCTTCCCATGGGCAGCTGAAAAAGAGCATGTTTCTTCAGCTTTTCTTGCCACAAAATGATAAAATAAACTGAAATAAAATAATAATAGTAGAAAGGAAATCCAATCTATGGCAATCCTCAGAGTTCTGGAGTCTGAGAGTGTTGATCTGCATCCATAAATGTCCTGACCGGTGAGTAGACACAGGCACTACAACTGGAAAGAGAGCAGGAAGGAAAACCTACCATGTGAGCAAAGTTAAAAAAAAAAAGGGGGGGGGGGAGAAGAAAAAAAAAGAGAGAGAGAAAAAAAGATCTGCTCAGTGGACAGCACTTGGGCTGATAGCAGGGATTTCAGGAAATCCAAACACTCAGACAGGAAATCTGAACACTGGATAAACATGCCATAATCTCCACAGATAGAGTTTACTTGCTGCGTCCCCCGTTAACCCATTGCCTGCCCGTGGCTGAGCCTGAAATCAGATCTGCGATGTGAGACGCCTGGAAACACAAGCTGCCCGGGGGGCTCCAAAGCCTGAGTGCTCCGAAGTCTGAGCAGCAGCCCTGCGATCAACCCTGCCCTCTCCTTCTCTCAGCGCTCTGGCGAGGATTTTTTCCTCCCTTGATTTCTACACATTGATGTGTTAGTTAAAAAGTGAATGATTTTCCTCATCTGAGAAGGAGATGCACCCTGGGCCCTGAAACAGCAGGGCAACCTGCCTGAATTCCTGTGTGCCACTGACTGTGGCTACCTGGTAGTCCCGAATTAGTTTTACCTGGGTTTTTTTCCACCTCTCTTTTGCTGTAACACAAGATTTGTATGGCTGGCTGCGATGGTTTACTCCGGGGATGATGCAGTGGGGACACATGCACACCCCCATAACCTCCTTAGAAATTATAGGGAGAGACTACTTAAAGTAACAGGGGGAGTTTGGAAACTCCCTTTATGCCATTTTGTCAAGGAATTTGGTTCCATGGCAGAGGGGCTGGAACTAAAGAGATCTTTAAGGCCTCTTCCAACCCAAACCATTGTATGATTCTATGAACTGAGGAACAAACTCTTCAGTTCCTGGTAAAATTAAGATGAAGCCTGTTTGGTTGGTTGTTTTCAGAATATAGAGTTTGCTCTTTGTGCCTTGTGTCTTAATTTATTTCTTTTATATGGTGTAACTTGGTTACAATATTAATGTAAAGCTCTTAGCTAGTTACAAAAGCAAGCAGAAGCAATAATATTTCATAGAGCTGACCCTTTGCTCCCACAGATGTAATTAATAAAGTGAAGTTTACATGAGAGTTGCCAAATTTAAATTCATAGGATTATGAGCACGCATACACACACAATTAAGCCTTGCATATTTGGAGGACGGGGAGGGACTTCACTGTCCTTTCTGTAGGAAGACAGTTGCAGGCTTCTCTGCTTTTTAGAGTTTACAGACTCCTAAGGAAAGGGCCCACTTCCAAAAATGTTTCTTCTCCCTGATAATTGACTTTTTGGGACAGTTCTGCCTAAAGCAAGTTGAAAAGAAAATGTCTTCAGATTTTCTCGTTCTTCTAGGATTTCACAGAAATAAATAAATAAATAAAATTAGTACCATGAATTTCACTTTGCAATTTGCTGGTGGACATAATTAGACACAGAGATAATATCCACCAACTGGTGCCCTCACTTAAGACATTGGCAATTAGCTCATCTGAAATAGCCTTAGTGTAAGTCCCACATGCAATATTAACCTGTATCATTATATTAAGGTCCCTGCTAGGAACAAAATAGGAGCACTATAGGAAAAGGCTTCCTTCAGCACCTTCTACTACCTACAGGGTGTTTCTATTTATAATGTCATGGACAGAAGCTCTGGCAAACCAACACTGGTTGCAGCATTCCCTGGAAGGGGCCAAGCTTGGACCTTATACCTAGTCTGTGGAGTTAGGCTGTGATGGCCAGGCAACACTGCAGGGAGCCTGGCAGCAGAACTGGGGTGGAAAATGGGGATTTGGGGGCATCCCTGCCTCAGGAACTCTCCTCTGATCTCCAGCCTAATTCTGACTCAGGAAATACCTTTCATGTTGGGCCCTCATGTTCCCAGTCATTCTCCTGCTACTTCTTAGGAAGCATGAGACTGGTGATGGAGGTTGGTTCCTGTGAGCGTGGTTGGAGCTCCGGCAGCTGCATCTGTGCAAAGAGCTGATAGAACAAATGCTTGACTTAAGAGGCATGAAGTCATCTGCCTGGCCTAGCACGTGCTTCATGAAACAAGGACCAAATGGTTGCTTGGTAATGTCAAGAGGGAACTGGTGGAAAAACAGGGAAAAATTAAAACATGTCAGGGTTGAACTTTTTTTTTTTTTCTTGTTCCATGTGCTCTGCCAGTGAGCTATTTCAGTTATTCACTTTTTTCCATAGAAGTTCTTCTGTTGTCACGGTATTTTTTACCTTTCCTTTTCTTGTATTTTCCCCTTAGTGCCATTCTTTCCAGTAGCAAAAGGAAAGCAAAAATAAAGAAAGGGGATAAAATACAGCCTTTGCTTTTCAGTGTAACTGGGGGGGGAGGGGGAGAGAAAAAAACCATAACCCTTCAAAATATGCATTTTGGAGAAAAAAAAGCATTTTAAGGTTGAGAGACTTTTCATTTGAAAACATTCAAGCAGCTCTAGAAAAAAAAGGGAGCTGGGGGAAGTGGGATATAATTTATTACCACTAACATCTGCTGTAAATCAGTTAGAGGTAGGCAAACATTCCCTACCAGGGCACAGTTAGGTCAAGGTGAGAGGGGATAAAGCAATAATTAAAAAGACCAGCGTCCCCCAGGCACCTTCAATAGGCTGTAAGCAGAAGAGCAAGTGCTTGCTGTAAAACTGTTTTGTTTGTCTAGAAAAATTTCAAAAGGGGTAAAAATAATAACTGGTATATTCAATGGAAAACTATCAGTTTATAAAATGTCTCCAACAGCTTCCATGCAGAACCACAAAAAGTATTATATTTTTCTAGTTAAAAAATAAGTTGAAAAAAAAGGTTGTGCTTATTGAGAGAAGTTTAATTTGATGAGAAATTTCTGCTGAAAAACTCTACAGAAAGTTGTTATTGTCAGTCCTGCTAAAAGGGAGAACAGGAACAGCATGGTGGGCAAAATAATGAAGCTGACAATAATAAACCATACAGAAACATTTCAGCAGAAACAAAGTAGAGAGAAGACTTCAAACTCAGGCCAGCAGAGTTATGGAAGCTAAAAAGTGAATAAAGAGTCTTGAAAGGGCACAGCAGCTGCAAAAAATCCCCCATCACCTGAGAAAAAAAAACAAAAAACGGTGCCCTTACTCAGTACAGATGTCAAGATACTTGCTTTTAAATTGAAAAAAAACCCTCTACCACATCCACCCTTCATGTACCCGCAGTATCTGAGCTTTCTGATCACTTGCTATATAACCCCAGGATGTAGCTTTGTGTATTCTTATAGCTGATAATGAAATTCTCCCTTCTTCCACAAAAAACTCTACAGCTACGAAATTAAGACAAATCAGTTAATTAAAGATTAAAAGGCTTTATCTATGTATGTGAAAGATAAAGCACATGAAATCATTATTGAGATTGTGAACAAAATTCTTGAGAAAGTTATCATTAACCTTTGAGGCCCCAAGCTCTGTTATTTTTCATGTTTCAATGACAAACCTTATCATTATAATAGTCAGGATTTTTTTTTTCCAGTATAGATTTGAAATAAAGATCACTTCTTTAATTTTCACCACCCTATTTACTGGATTTGAGAAGACTTCAACAGAATAATAAAAATATTTGGAGACAGAAATCGCAGATCCCAGTTTTGTCATTCTCCACCCTTCAGTCACCCGAAGGCTTTACATTCTTGAAAAAAATGACTTAATATATTCACATGAAACTAATTTACTTTCCATTTAGAGCATGGCCTGCCCTGTGCACTCAGTCATTCCAGACCTCTCTCTCAGTAGCTACCAGAAACTGGATGCCAGAGAAACACTGTGGCACGCTAAACAAAGTTCCCCAATCATACTGTGACTCTATCTGGATTTACAACAACATATGCTAAGACTTAGCAAACATTAGAGAAAATGAATAGAAAACACTATCCAAAAGGATTTCATAAACACTGACACAACTTACCATAAACTATAAACACTATTTTTCTTGCAAAACTTCTGTAATTAACTGGTTTAGAGAATTCTTGCTGCGATACAAAACATATCTCTTTGTGCACTGGCTTTCAATTTTAACATTTGCTTGGAGATCCCTGCCACTTTTATTACTAGTCCGCTCCTTCCTAAATGAGCAGGCAAGAAGGTTTACTTTTGAGATCAGCATCCCTGCTGGCAATGTTGCACTAGGAAAAGCACCAAGCCCCCTCCCTCCTACAACAAACCATGTGCTCTTACATTACCCAAGAAACATTGCCACTTTCCCCACTGTTCATTCACTGAGATACAGCAGAAGCTGTGTTCTAACAGGTTTAACAACATGTTTGTGCATTTATTAAGTAAATAGCACCTCTTGACGTTCTGAAAAGGTCTGGGCATTAGAAACTGCCTTGACAAGAAGCACTTGACCCTTGGTGGTAGCTACAGGCTGTATCAGTGCGCAGGAGGCTGTGCATGTTTCATTTCTAATTGCTTTTAAAGTTTTCTTTTTTAAAATAGGAAAAAAACCAAAACATTAAAGTATTTCCTTTTTTTGCCTCTCCTTTTCATTCGTTGTTCCTTGTTGCAATGGCAAAAAAAGGGGAATATTTTCACAGACCTCTTTTTCTCCTCTATTCTTTTTTACCAATGTGGCATGTGAAAAGAGGAAACCGAAGACATGTCCAAACAATTATTTTTCAATGAGCTCTGCTCAAAAAATGCTGTATAGAAATATACAGTTAAGGGTACTAAAGAAGACAAATTCTACCTAAAGATATCCCTATGGTGTGAGCATAGCTGCTGGCTTCATCATTTGCCAGAGATATATGGAGACTCCAGATAACATTGAGAGACTACTGTAAGTTGAGTTATGCACCATGGACCCAGGTAGCAACAAAATGCTGTTGTGTAGGGAAATCTGAATTTCTGAGTCTCTCTGCATCATTCTCTATAGGTTCCCAGGCCATTAGTTGTGCTGAAAGGGCTGAGTTGGAAGGACACCTTGCACATGTTATGAGCATCTCACCAGGCTCATTCTTCCTTTGTCACTAAAGTTTTCCCCAGTTTC